GAATAAAACATGTTAAAAGTGCAGTATATTGAGCACGGGAAATACATATAATCTTCATACATGTGCAGTATATTGAGGAAAGTCGGAGCTCTTGATCTGGCGGATGTCGTTTCGTATGGCAATGTGGACCGACTCAGGACGAGGATTCCCCGGGAGAATTAGGCCCAGTTTTCAACCCGATTGAAAATTAATCTACGATTTGAATTGATTCACCCTAATGAGTATGTTTATGCACGTGTGAGAATTAGATATAACTAACGTTGTGATTAGTTTAGGGTTATTTTCGAGGTAACTAATCGTGTCGTCCGACCAGTTAGTGTAGGCCATGTGACGAAACTGTCCTTGGCTCACTTGTTGGTCTTTGAATCCATTATTGGTCATTTTAGCTGATCTGGACTGTCTCTCTGAAGCATCTTTTTTTTTTTTTTTTCTATTGATGAATATTTTTATGACGTCATAAATGTTTTATTTTATTTATTTGTGGGAGTTGTGATGTCCAACTAAGCTCTTTCAGGGCTTTTGAGAAGTCTTTGATATGATGATGTTCTTGCAGTTATCATCATTGTCAATATCTGGTCGTCAAAATCTTTCTTTCTTTTCAAATTTCTTTCAAAAAAAAAAAAAAAAAAGTACAGCTTTGTGTCGACGTGTTCGGGATCGAGAACTAAATTCGGTTAGAATTTAAAAGGATCGTTGGATGTATGAACGAGAACGACCAAATATATTGGTTGTCGTGTGAGCCCTTTTTCTTTCACAAGTTTTTATACCCTTCTAGTATGATAGCTAGACGTTTTTTCTGCTAAGCTATATGATATTGTATACCTCGTTTTTATGGTTTGATTTGTCGTTCGTAAATACTGATAGGAATCTTCCCATTTAGGGTGGTTGGCTCATGATACGACGTTCTTCGGACGGAGGAAATAAGTTATTTCTGGGTTTAACGATTAGAGTAGAGCAAACATCACTTGCTAGATAGTCTCGGGAGGTGGTTTACTTGAGATTATCGATAGATTTTGGAGGTCTCGGTTTAGAATAGCAATATCTATACTATTAACTAATCTAGAGATATATGAAAGAGGACAGTGTAACAACCACAATAACGTGCAACTATTAAATTTTATATATGAGATTTCACATCGGTTGGAGACGGTAACAAAGCATCCATTGTAAAGATGTAAAAACCTCTTCCTAAATGTTAATACGTAACGGGCTAAAACGGACAATATCTGCTAATGGTCGGATTATTACTTTATCTGTTAATTTCATAGTCATACGTTTTGGTAGCTCATCCTTTAGCGTTTTATTATCATTTCTTAATTAGTAGCTTTTTAATCTCACTTTTATAACCCGCTCGAGACCTTTTATATTAATGTTGGAAATAACAGTCTTTTACTGAAACCTTTATTCTTAAAGAACGAGAAAGCACACAATAGCTAAAAATTTGTATTACAATCAGATGACAGAAACCGAGCAAAATATAGCATTCGTCGAGGAACTAACTCGGAACGAAAGCATTTCAATATTCTACATTAAAAATTATATTTAAAAGGAAAAAAAAAAGGAAGATAAATGTGGGGTATGGAGATGTGGGTGTGTTGTGTTTGTTTATGGTCAAATATGAACCTAACATTTTTGAACTGCCCTTTTCATTTCTTGTTCTTCAGATTTGACTTGCTCTGACACTCTTAATTGTACATTTTTTTCTTGTTTTTGTAGGTCCATTCCCCCTTGCCAATAATAATACTAACGACGCTGTGTTACAACAAGTAATTTTGTGTTGTTACTGTTGACGTTACAGAAACGATTTGAAGTTATCTTTGGTGTAGAAATCTGTTAGAATGTTGAATGAAAAATTAGGGTTTGTAATGATGTAATTGACTGTTGGAACGGAAATTGAGATTGTTTTAGGTCATAATTTTCGTGATGGTGGGTTTGAAATATAGCGTTTGAGAGATTAGGATAGAGCTGTTTTTAAAAAACACGTGGCAAAGTTCGAGGGTATTTTGTAATTTAGTCGTGCTCTGAATGCCTCTTTGTTGCAAAATTATATTTGAGGTAGAAATCTGATAGAATATTGACACCTAAAAATGATGTGATAGAGACCTATAATAAAATTTGAGATCTGAAAATGATGTGGCAGAGACCTTATACGGACATTGAGACATGACTACTGTTACACTGTTTCAGCTCACAGTTTCTGTTCAACATTCAATAGTGTAAAGTTCGAGGGTATTTCATAATTTAGTCGTGCTCTAAATGCCTCTACGTTCCAAGATTGTCTTTGTAACGACCCAGATCCACCGCTAGTAGATATTATCCTCTTTGGGCTTTCTCTTTCGGGCTTCCCCTCAAGGCTTTAAAACGCGTCTACTAGGGAAGGTTTCCACACCCACATTGGTTGGGGAGGAGAACAAACCACCATTTAAGGGTGTGGAAATCTTCCCCTAACAGACGCGTTTTAAAGCGAGGGGAAGTCCGAAAGGGAAAGCCCAAAGAGGACAATATCTGCTAGCGGTGGATTTGGGTGCTAACCGTCATAATTTTTGTCCAACACTTGGCGGCTCTAAATGTCTCCATGTTCTTTATCATACCGCTCTAAATGTCTCCATGTTCTTATCATACCTGAAATATGTCTTTTAAACTACATTTATCTTTCATTAACACTATTGACCTATATTTTTCGTTATATAATTAATAATCAATCGTCAAATTGACAGTGATTTATGTTTAACGAGCCATCTTGCCTTATCCCAATGCTGTATGAGACATGGTGCCAAAAAGAAAGAGACAAACTTAGAATATTTTGTACTCTTTGAACACAACTCACATCTTTCGTGCAATAATAATATAACTAACATTCAAATGATATCATTGAGATAACACTTACGTATAAAATAAATTTAAAAAAAACGTCACACGAGATATAAATATATCTATTTAAATTTAAAGCAAAGTTCAAGATATTTTTGTCATCACGAGCTTTAAACCGTTTATATTTTATGTTCTAGTACTTTATGTTTTTTTTTAAATGTCAGATTTATCAATAATTTGACTTGACATTTCGAAAGTGTCACGTAGCCCTTTTCTTTTTTTACTTAAAGCTGACACGTGTGAAATGGCTCCAACTTTTTAAATAAGAGTATAATTTTTTTTTTCCGAATGGATGCAAGAGTACAGATGGATAGGTTTGTCTCTCAAGGAGTAGAGACGGTGTAACTGCTAAATAAAAAGTAATGGCTCAAGCGCACTGCTTATTGATATTGTTCATTTTGGCCCTTATGTATGACAGTGAGCCTGGTGCTTCGTTACCCCTCTCCAACCAATTTGAGATCTCACAATTCACCCTTCTAAGGGGCCCAATGTCCTCGCTGGCACACTGCCTGTGGCCATAAGCCTGGTGCTTCATTCCTCCCTTCAACCAGTTTGGGATCTCACAATTCACCATTCTTACGGGCCCAAAGTCCTCGCTGACACATAGCTGGTGGTCGTCAGCCTGGTGAATCGTTCCCCCTCTCCAACCAATTTGGGATCTCACAATTCACCCTTCTTAGGGGTGGGGCCCAAAGTCCTCGCTGACACATAGCTGGTGGTCGTCAGCCTGGTGAATCGTTCCCCCTCTCCAACCAATTTGGGATCTCACAATTCACCCTTCTTAGGGGTGGGGCCCAAAGTCCTCGCTGACACATAGCTGGTGGTCGTCAGCCTGGTGAATCGTTCCCCCTCTCCAACCAATTTGGGATCTCACAATTCACCCTTCTTAGGGGTGGGGCCCAAAGTCCTCGCTGACACATAGCTGGTGGTCGTCAGCCTGGTGAATCGTTCCCCCTCTCCAACCAATTTGGGATCTCACAATTCACCCTTCTTAGGGGTGGGGCCCAAAGTCCTCGCTGACACATAGCTGGTGGTCGTCAGCCTGGTGAATCGTTCCCCCTCTCCAACCAATTTGGGATCTCACAATTCACCCTTCTTAGGGGTGGGGCCCAAAGTCCTCGCTGACACATAGCTGGTGGTCGTCAGCCTGGTGAATCGTTCCCCCTCTCCAACCAATTTGGGATCTCACAATTCACCCTTCTTAGGGGTGGGGCCCAAAGTCCTCGCTGACACATAGCTGGTGGTCGTCAGCCTGGTGAATCGTTCCCCCTCTCCAACCAATTTGGGATCTCACAATTCACCCTTCTTAGGGGTGGGGCCCAAAGTCCTCGCTGACACATAGCTGGTGGTCGTCAGCCTGGTGAATCGTTCCCCCTCTCCAACCAATTTGGGATCTCACAATTCACCCTTCTTAGGGGTGGGGCCCAAAGTCCTCGCTGACACATAGCTGGTGGTCGTCAGCCTGGTGAATCGTTCCCCCTCTCCAACCAATTTGGGATCTCACAATTCACCCTTCTTAGGGGTGGGGCCCAATGTCCTCGCTGGCACACTGCCTGTGGCCATCAGCCTGGTGCTTCATTCCTCCCTCCAACTAATTTGGGATCTCAACATCCACCATTCTTAGGGGCCCAACGTCCTCGCTGGCACACAGCCGGTGGTTGTCAGCCTGGTGATTCATTCCCCCTCTCCAACCAATTTGGGATCTCACAATCCACACCCTTTCCACCATTTTTAGGGGCCCAACGTCCTTGCTGGCACATAGCCAATGGTCGTCAGCCTAGTGATTCGTTCCTCCTCTCCAACCAATTTGAGATCTCACAATCCATCCTTTGTAGGGGCCCAATGTCGACATAGCCAGTGTCTGGCTTTGATACCATTTGTAATGGCCCAAGCCCACCGCTAATAAATAAAGTTTGTTTTGATCCTTTACATATAGTCATCAGTCTCACGATTTTAAAACTTATTTGTTAGGGAAAGGTTTACACGGTATAAAGATTATTTTTGGGATCTAGGTACGAGCATGAATTTAAAAAAATTTGTTTTTCTAACACTTTATTTTGTTTGTTAATGCTTAATAAATTAAAGGTTTAATTATCACCTGCGAATCTTCTTCCCGCTAAAAATGCTACCTCAAATTTAGGGCGCGGGCGCAGCAATGGCTTAATCCGGATGTTAACTTGGAATGAACTCGGTGACTCTCTCAATGTCTTCTCGGGGCCGACATTTCAATTTGAACGATGCCGGCCGAAACTCAGTCATGGAGTTAGATGGCGTCAAAGGCTGTAGGAAGAAGAAGATGATGATCCGCTTCATAAATTTATCGATTACGCGAGGTCTTTGATATTATTTGAAGACGAAGAAAACTTCGATCCTAATGTTAATGGAACGGAGACCAATGCGGCCGGTTGGAGTTTGATCGCCTCCCGGTTCCTCAGAACTTGTATCGCCTACTCGAGTTCTGTTACCGCTGCGATTTTGCTATTTGAGCTCTCGCAGGTACCGCGAATTCGAACTCCTCTATAAGGTTTCTTTCTTTGACTGTAGATACTTTGAGCAAAAATTTATGTTAATTGCCTGATTTCCAATCAAAGGAAGATGCAACAGTGAGGACTGCCTGAATTCTTGATGTTTCACAATTGGATTAAAGATTTCACCGTAATTGATTCCAGGAGTTCAACGGAGTCTCTTGGTTTCAAGTTTGAATTTGTATTAATACGCCGTCTGAGTTCCTTCTTAATATGTACATCCACTTATTACCAAGTGTTCATAACAACGAGAGGGTGGTATTAGGGCCCGTGTTTTATTCTAAATGAGGGATGATTACTTAATACTCTGTCATATCTTGGTTCTAGGCTTTTGAAATTGATGCGTCCTTAGAGTTGCTTGATCCAATTGTAGTCCTGTTGTCCTTTTAAGTATTAGGCAATGGGGGACAACCTCGAGTAATCCAGATTGCACCCTGACCACACATATTGGTTTTTAAGTATTAGTATCCTCTCAACTGTCCTTTGCGATTCGGTATCTCTTCTTCTGAGAGGCTAGTCAACTGTCAATTATGAAATTATCCATGTGAGTAATGATTGGTTGCCGCCCAAGCTTCATAATCTGAATTGGAAATAAAAAAATTTAATGGCGATGAAGGCATTCATTTCTTCTCTAGGAGGAGAATGCATTCTGAGCTTCTTAATCTCTCCAGTCAAGTTTGTGTGATTAGCGTATATAGGAAGAATAAAATTTTGCCAAAGCATAAAATTGTTTACACTGATGTAACCTGATTGATCCAATTTTCTAGTGGTGGGAGTTGGGATTAGCCATGAAAGCTCTGGTGACAAGAGATGTTCTGGGATGAAAGAAATTTAGCTGAAGTAAAACATGGTGCATAATGCAGCATCTTGTACAGCTGCATTTATGATGTTGGTGTTCTTTTGTTTTTCCCCCTCACTAAAATGGTCAATGCTTAAACTTTAGAGGCTGTAGTTTCACAAAAGGATGGATTTTGGATATCCAATCATGAACTGACTGCCTTATCTTCAATATTTGCAGGATTGAATCTATTGGTCCACTGGAAATTTATGAGAAGATTAATGGCTTGCGGATGATACAAATCAGTCTTGTTGATAATGATGATTTCAATTTAAAGTTTATCGGGGGGTGAACAGGGGTTACTAGCCAATATTATATGGTGAATCTTTTAGTTTGATGTTAACTATTTCAAGAATATTCTTGCATGATTATATCAACGTAACAGTTCTCATTTGAACAGTGTTGGTTTACTTGCACTTGATAGACCATAAATTGCAACTGTAATCGAGAATGGCATTGGAACAAGTGATGATCTTTGTCTTGAATATGTTAGTGCAACACAGTTATATTTGGTGCCTTGCATTCATCATAAGGAGCAAGTGAGTTAGTGCAACACAGTTATATTTGGTGCCTTGCATTCATCATAAGGAGCAAGTGAGTTAGTGCAACACAGTTATATTTGGTGCCTTGCATTCATCATAAGGAGCAAGTGAGTTGTAGAACCCCACCTCTCCCCACACCATGCACACACAAAATTAAGAGACTTCCCTGTATCTTGGATCCCGTCAATATGTAAATATTCCACAACACAGGTCTCTGTTTTAGCACAAATATAAACCAAGCTTCAAGAACGCTTAGCACGTCGTATCCTTCACTTAGTACATCTTTATGAAGATAAATCTTAATAGCCATCTGTTTATGAAGTTTACAGTCTTTTGTGGTCGACCTTCAAGACAAGATGACTGGCATTAGCTTATATGGTAAGGTTTTATGAGTCTTCACATTTATATAGCACTTCAAATAACAAAAAATTCTCATCACCTATACTTCCACTCATTTTTGAGTTCCACTTTTCTTTTTCTTTTCTTTGTGTCTTCTCTTGTAAAGATCGGTGGACATACAGTATATATAAGTGTCCTGACATGCACCATAAACAAGAATCGGTGAGCTAATTCAAACAATTTACTCCGTTATCTAATAAATAAATTGAAAGTCTTGGACAATTTGAAATGCTTATGTACATAAAATAATAACTAGTCGTTGATTTGAGGATTTTCTCCTTTTCGATATTTTGGCGATTTCTTCATGGCATTTCTAATTTGATTTGAGTCTTTTGCTTGTGAAGCTTGGAGGCTTTATGGATTGAGAATCATGTTGGAGCTTCTTTTGTCAACTTTAGCTGCTTGCCAACATTGTTTTCTCCTGGTCTTCTTAAACTTTCACGACTTTCTGATCTTACGAAGCAATACTCATGGTACAAAGGTGAAGCTTTTTCTTTTTCCTTCTCGTTCTTTCTTTGTCTATAGTATGTTATGTGTGATGAGGAACTTTTCAAAGTGGAAAGGTTTCAGATTTCTTTCCATTTACCAGGACCACTAGAGAGCTCTAATCGCCCATCCCCAATAGGCCACCTCGCTGAAAGGATTTATGGGAGCCGTACATCAATATCCTTTGGAGATCAAGTGAGGCAAAGCTCCGTACCTTTGTTGCTTAGAAGCAGCAAAGTAGGGATTCCTCATTCTTATAACGTAATATATAAACAACAAACGTTAGGAGAGAGACAAATGACCAATGAAGTTTCTCTTTTTGCAACCTTTATTGGGAATCTAGGGAAAATTAGGCTTGATAACGATTTTATTACTGATTTCTGTTTTTGAAAATTATGTTTGGTTCCTCTTAATTTCTTTATTATGGATTTAGAAACATAATAGTGAATTGAAGGAGGAAGATCGGCAGATGTGGAAATAATGACTATTTTGTTAATGATCCACTTTCATGGGAGATTACTTTGCACTTGTGAATAATGCTTCATTCAGGAACTATCTTTTTAGCAGTGGCTGCTGCAAGACGGCAAAAGGTATTGTAAAGACCTACAGGTATTATTCATTCTTCATTTCAATGTCTTGAACTGCAATACCCAATTAAATTCATAACACAGGCATTTTAATGATATTTTTGTCCTTTTTTTTTTTTTTCATATTTTATGATGCATTATAATCATTTATCTAAAGATTTGGACGTTGAAATATTCTCGCCCTTTGTGGTTAGAAATTTAATGGAAACAAAAGTGTAAGATCCTAGTTATTATAAAGGTTGAGTGTAGACTAAAGAAATATTCTTTAATCCATTACACATTTGTGGTTATATAGACCTTTCAAATAGGTTCGTGACCCCTATACTTGACCTTTTTGGTAGCATTAATCCTAAGTCCAAGGTCTAGTTTTGAGCCAAAAAAGTATAGACAGAAATTCTTTAGGCTTGCGTGATACAAATTAATAAACAATAATCTCTTGATTTGAATTAGAATCTAAAACCAAACATTTTAAACGCTTCATGTTCTGATCAAGCTTTTAAATATTGATATTGCTCGAAATGTTTGATTCTTTTATGATTAATATTTGGTCTAAACTGTGATATTTTATTGTATGTCATTCATTTTTGTTTCGATTTAAGATTTATTTTAGTCCCAAATATAATGTTTTAATATAGGTTTAATCATGAAGCATGAGTTAAAACTTGTTAAAGGCAAGTAATATAAGAGTCTTGTGACTTTTAGAATTGCACCACCAATTCTTGAATTATATTTGAAGCAATGAATTTGTTAATTCTGTTGCTCTTTAGGCAAAAGTTTAATATGCTTTCGGTGATTATTGTGAAGTTCATGTGTTTCGTGCTCATTTCTACTGTCTGTTTATCCAATTCCCCAAGCCACCCCTTGATTCTGTTTCTGCCTCCATAACCTTATATATCACTCCTACATCCTTCTTAATTCATTTCAAAATCACCTGTTCTTCTTTCTTTCTTTCTTTCCTTAATTATTTTTTCTGTCCATCTTCTTTGCAGGGCATCACCAGATTTTAAGCCCTCTTAAGGTATGTTCACCAATATTCCCTTTTTTGTTAGCAAATTTTGTGTGAAATTTATGATTGCTTGTATAAATAGAAGATTAATATCACTTAAAAGTACCTATATTTATAGCTTAGGATTTTCAAGTCCTAATTTTTTACACAACTAAAACTATTTAATAGGTGTTACATTTTAGGAAATTTATTTTGTGTAGTATAGGTTGAAATTATGATTAAAAAATATTAGAAATACTAAAATAGGTCTAATGTGTTGGATGATGAAAGTCCCACATTGGCTTATTTAGGAAATGATCATGGGTTTATAATAAAAAATACTCTTTTTGGCTAATTTAGGAAATAATCGATGGGGTTATAATCAAAGAATACTCTCTCAATTGGTATGAGACCTTTTGGGAAGCCCAAAGCAAAGCCATGAGAGCTTATGTATACGATTGTAGAGAGTCTATGAGACCTTCTGGGAAGCCCAAAGCAAAGCCATGAGAGCTTATGTATATGATTGTAGAGAGTCTATGAGACCTTCTGGGAAGCCCAAAGCAAAGCCATGAGAGCTTATGTATATGATTGTAGAGAGTCTATGAGACCTTCTGGGAAGCCCAAAGCAAAGCCATGAGAGCTTATGTATATGATTGTAGAGAGTCTATGAGACCTTCTGGGAAGCCCAAAGCAAAGCCATGAGAGCTTATGTATATGATTGTAGAGAGTCTATGAGACCTTCTCGGAAGCCCAAAGCAAAGCCATGAGAGCTTATGTATACGATTGTAGAGAGTCTATGAGACCTTCTGGGAAAGTCCAAAGCAAAGCCACAAGAGCTTATGTATACGATTGTAGAGAGTCTATGAGTCCTTCTGGGAAGCCCAAAGTAAAACCATGAGAGCTTATGTATACGATTGTAGAGAGTCTATGAGACCTTCTAGGAAGCCCAAAGCAAAGCCACGAGAGCTTATGTTCAAAGTGGGCAATATCATACGATTGTAGAGAGTCGTCTAACATAATGGAAGTTTTGAAAATTTAAAGACTAAAATAAATCAAAAGTCGAAATCACACCAACCAAAATATTATTTAAACCTAATTTTGTACATTTAAGAAGGTAAATTGATATTTTTTTTAAAAATAAATTTATGTTAAATTGTATAGTAAATTCATATCCTTCCATTTTTACTTTTTCAATAGTCTTTCAATCTTCTGTGTTTAGTGAATTTTCTTTATGTATGTCGTTCAATTTGTAAATTAGAGATTGAAATCTCTAACTTTTCTTTTTTATCGACTTAGTTTAAATTAAAGTTGAAATTAATATTTAATACTAAATCTTTAATAAGAAATCTCATGACAATATAAATGAGTTTAAGTTACAAATAACATACAAAATGAAATTATTAAATAGATTAAAGAATAAAATATTAAATTAATAAAAACAAAAATGTTATATAAATTTAAATATCAAGTAAATTATACTTTTGATAACTTTGATCCTCGTATTAAATTAGTTATGTTTTAAAATTTGAATATCAAATCCCTAACTTAAAATGTTGGATTTTGAACATTCAATTAACCAAATTTGCTAATTACTTGACATTTTCTAATAAAATAATTATAATAATAAAATAATAATAATAATAATAAATCTCTCTCTTCTCTCACTCTTCCCATGCTCGGGTTAGGAATGTTCATTTTAAACATAAGTTTTTCAGGAAGCCTTGTACCAATGTAGATAGTATTCTTGAATTATAAATTCGCGGTCATATTCCTGGATTATAAACTCATGATTATTCCTTAAATTAGCCTGTGGGAGTTAACAAGATAGTATTTCTGGATTATAAATCCATGATAATTTCCTAAATTAACTGATGTGAAATTTTATTATCTAACCGCTCCTTTTTCAGCCTCCTCTCTGGCTAACTATCCGGTGGTGCCGGTGATGCACCCACCCCTCTTCCTCCCACATGAGAAATCAATTTGGGAATTAAAAACAAGATCTGTAAAATAAAAAACAAGATAAAGAAGACGAATAAGAAGAATGAAATGATGGAGGGGAGATAGCGGCGGCTTTACCGTAGGAGGGTCAGAGGACGGAGGGGGATGAAGGAGGACGGCGGTGGGGTGGCAATGACAGCCATGAGAAGGGAAAGGGAGGGAGAAAGAAGTGTTGGATGATAAAAGTCTGACTAATTTAGGAAATGATTATGAATTTATAATAAAAAATATTCATTCCAAAACAAAGTCACTAGAGAGTAACTCATCTATCAAGATCATCTATCAAAAAAGGAGGAGAGAAGGAGAAGTTTAAAATAATAATAATAATTACTAAATTTAGAAAAAAAAATTTGAAATTTTAAATCTTAAATACTACCAAATATTTTTAATTACTTATAAATTAATTAATTATTTGATTATTAATTTATTAACTTTTATCAATACTTTGAATGCATGATTAATTCCATAACTAAATGCAAGTTTAATTTATCTCCATAAAAATTCGATTATATTCTCAAACACAGCCATCCTTAATGTTAGTATTTTGTTAAATATTTGTGTGTGTTCATGAATTCAGTAACAACATTATCAACAAAATATTAAAAATAACGAATTATTTTTATTGTTTGTATATTTCTATGATTTTTCATATTTAAAATCTTGATCTTCATCTATTTACTGTTTTTTTCTCAATGAAACTATTGTTCGTTTTTTGTGCTCACAATTTGAATGAATTAGATCAATAATATTTACCATTTACCTTGCCTCTGTTCCCGAAATAAAGCGCCTCTTTCTTGGCCGCCGCCGGGAAGATGGATTCATCAAGAGCACTGTCTCATTCGATTGATGTTCCGGCGACCTCACAAGGAAGCTCTGAGGAAGAATCTCTCCTATCTTCCATTGAAGGAAAATTGGAAGCCTTCTGTTCATCCATTACCATCTTCAGAGCTCCAAATGAAATCAGTATCGAAGATAGAAACGTCTTCGTCCCTGCCAAAGTCTCAATCGGTCCTTTCCACCACGGCGCGCCACATCTCGAATCAATGGAAAATCTTAAGTGGTGCTACTTGTCCGCTTTCTTGAAGAACAATCCGTCCGTCGATTTACAATATCTTGTTGAACTCGTTGTTAAATCTGAGAGCCGATTGAGAAAATGCTATGAGGAAGAGTTTTATGGTTTCGACAGCGATAAGTTTTCGCAGATTATGTTGCTTGATTGCTGCTTCATTCTCGAGCTGCTTTTGCGATTCTCGAAAAAGAGGCTCAGGCGACGGAATGACTCTGTTTTCACTACTCCTGGTTTGCTCTTCGATTTGAGATGCGACTTGATGTTGCTTGAAAATCAGATTCCCTACTTCCTTCTCAAAGACGTTTATGAAAATGTGCAAGATCCGACCGAGGAAAATATGTCTCTCAATGACCTAACCTTCCGATTCTTCAAAACTATGGTTGCTGGAGATCGGCAATTAGTTTACGACAATTTCATGGTGGAAGCAGATCATCTACTCGAAATGGTTCACTCTTGTTTTCTCTCCACCTATCCTCGAGTGGAGACGAACGACAAATCGAAGTCGAAAGAATTACCTACTGCGTCGAAGCTTAAAACTGCGGGAATCAAAATCAAGAACGCCAGATCTTCAAAGAGCTTATTAGACATCAAATTTCAGAACGGCGTCCTCGAAATTCCACCTCTCAAGGTGTATCAGAAAACAGAGGTGATTCTGAGGAATCTCGTAGCGTATGAGATCCATCAATCCGGAAGCGACCGGCAAGTGAAATCATACATCAATTTCATGAGCCACCTTCTCCAGTCAGATCAAGACGTGAAGATTCTCTATAGAAGAAAAATCCTAAACGATCAGGAGGACGACGAGGAGCAGATTATTCGAAATCTGAAATGGATGAGCGAGAGGGAAAGCTTATCGGGAACGTACTTTGCCGGCATTGTTCAGAAACTAAACGAGAAGCCGGACCGATGCGTCGCACGGTGGCGGAAGTTGAGAAGGACTCCAGTGGCCATCGGCATCGTCGCCGTTTTGGTGGTGGTTGTGATCTTCGTCGCGGCCTTCTTCTCTGCATTTTCAGTACTTCAGCGTCGTTACAAATGAGCAAGGAATGCAAACACGACCATTTATATACGGTTTTATGATCATATTGATCAACTTTCAATTTAGAAATCACTCCCTAAACTTCCATTATTTTACGTTTTTTACCCTTCACTATTGCAAAATACATTTTGACCTATATTGAAAATAATGAAATCACTGAGTAATAAAATTTTGTTTATTTATAATTTTTTTGCTAAATTATATTAAAAAAAATTCACTAAACAAAAATACATGTGATTCTTATAAAATTTTATGTATATACCTCTCTTATTTCATAGTATTCATTCGTCTTTCTTTTGAATCAAAGTAGGTCGGGGAAAGCTGCCGTTTATACGACAGCTTCGCTTCCTCGTCTTGCTTTTGGCAAAGTTTCGATTTTGTTTGCTTGCGTATGTTGGATGAAAGTCTCGCATCGACTAATTTAGAAAATGATCGTAAGTTTATAATCAAATAATACTATCTCCATGGTAACGAGTCTCTTGGGAAAGCCCAAAACAAAGCCAGGAGAGTTTATTCTCAAAGTAGATAATATCATACCATTGTGGAGAGTCGTGTTCGTCTAACTGCGCAAAAGCTTAAAATCCTTTTCGCTCAGTCCAAAAGCTTCCCGAAAGATTAGATCCAATAGAAATCCCGCATATTGAGCGCAACTGATATGCGGGGCTATAGGCAAATCTTTTTCGCTCGATCTAAAAGCTTCCCGAAAGATCAAATCCAATAGAAATCCCGCAAATTGAGCGCAGCTGATATGCGGGGCTAGGTGATCATATCATGCCATAAAACGATTTGATATGTATAGAGAGATGAAGTGATGCTTCTCGAAAGATCAGATCCAATAGAAATTCCGCATATTGAGCGTAGCTGATATGCGGGGCTAGGCGATCATACCATGCCATAAAACAATTTGTATTGTACATAGAGATGAGTGATTGAGCGAGAATCGGGTGTATTTTTTATTACATAAATTAAAATATTAAAATTTATTTTAAAAAATGACGTTTTTGAATTTTCAACGTATTAATAATCTATTATTTTAAAATTTATGTTTTCAGGGTTATATAAATTAATATTTAAAATAATAATAGATATTTTATGGGCAAAGCTCACAAAAGAACACATGGCGGAATATAATATTTACCTTCAGCCGCCTTCTCGAATTTCAGTCGGACACGGCATCCGTCTGCGCCAAATTCGTGTTTGCATTCAATAATTGTTTTCTTCGTGGAGTCTCTGCCATTGAAGTTGCGCCCCTTCTTCCAAATTCCTCTGATCAAAAGCTTCCCAACAATCATTCCACGATCTCTGCAGAAGTGAAACGCAAAGAGAAAATGGACGGTGAACGGAGAATCGGAGTTGCAGTGGATTTCTCACTCTGCAGCAAAAAAGCACTCAAATGGACTATCGATAATGTTATCCGTAAAGGTGATTACCTAATTCTCATCACTGTTCGTCCTGAAGGCGATTATGAAGACGGCGAGATGCAGCTCTGGCAAACTACCGGATCTCGTAAGATGTTCTTCCTTCTCGATCTCGTTCTTTTATTTCTCTCATCCGATCTTCGGAGGTAGCGCAAGCGCTTGTTCGATTGCACTGAAACCTTTTTCTAATTCTCTGCAAGATTGTTGCTCTTTTCGCTGTTTGAAGAAATTCGGTTTCGGTTTTGGTTTGATTCCTTTGTTCTTGGCGATCGACGTATTTTGTAATTGTCTCTGTGTGTGTGTTTACTGTTTTGTAGCGCTTATTCCTCTGTCTGAGTTCTCCGATCCTCACACCATGAAGAAGTACGGGATTAAGCCGGATGCTGAAACTCTGGACATCGTGACGACGGCGGCCGCCCAGAAGGAGGTGATTTTTCTATCTTTATGTTTTTGTTAAGCGGTTTGTTTCAATTTCTGCGTTGATGATTGAAATTTTTCTGTAATGGAACAGATCACTGTATTGCTTAAGGTTTATTGGGGAGATGCTGGAGAGAAGATTTGTGAAGCAATTGATCAGGTTCCTATCAGCTGTCTCGTCATTGGGAACAGAGGTCTTGGCATGCTTAAGAGGTGAGATCGAATTCTCTTTCAGTTGTTTGAATCATAACTCTTAAGAATTTAGACTTCTTAAACTGGTTCCATATATACAAAAATTTTGCGAAAATGTTTTTGTAAAGAGTTTATCAATCAGTCCCTGGATCTTTGCTTACAATCACTGGGATTGTGAGATCGATGTCGTTTTAAGGGTTGTGAGGGGAACGAAACATTGCTTAGAAGGAGGGTGTTGAAACTTCTCTCTTGCGTTTTAAAATTGTGAGGCCCAACGGGCCAAAGTGGACAATATTTGTTAGATATGGGCTTGGGCATGTTACAGATGCTAGAGATGGGTTGGGCAATATTTGCTAGATATGGGTTTAGGCGTGTTACAGATGCTAGAGATGGGTTGGACAATATTTGCCAGATATGGACTTAGGCGTGTCACAGATGCTAGAGATGGGTTGGGCAATATTTGCTAGATATGGGTTTGGGCGTGTTATAGATGCTAGAGATGGGTTGGACAATATTTGCCAGATATGGACTTGGGCGTGTCACAGATGCTAGAGATGGGTTGGACAATATTTGTTAGATATGAGCTTAGGCGTGTTACAGATGCCAGAGATGGGTTGGGCTGTTACAAATGGTATGACAATATTTGCTAGAGATGAATTGGACTGTTGCAAATGTTATGACAATATTTGCTAGAGATGGGTTGGGCTGTTACAAATGGTACAATATTTGCTAAAGATGGGTTGGGCTGTTACAAATAGTATTAGAACCAGTAACTGACGATGCGAGACACTAGTCGAAGTAGGGCTAAACCCTCTCCATAGTAGATGCATTTTAAACCTGGGAGGCTGACGGCGATATGTAACAGGCCAAGGCGGACAATATCTATTAGCAATGGGTTTGGGTTGTTACAAATGATACTAGAGGTATATAACGGGCGGTATGCCAGCAGGACGCTGGCCTCCAAGGGGATGGATTGTGAGACTCCACACCGGTTGGAGAGGGGAACGGTGTGAAAACCTCTCCCTTACCGACGACGATACGTAACATGCCAAAACAAACAATATTTACTAGTGATAAGCATAGGCCGAACATCGCATTTCTTAAAAAAAAAAAAAATGAAAACTACCGGTATAAATTTGAAAATTGTGGAATATTTTTACAGGGCAATATTGGGGAGTGTAAGCAACTATGTGGTGAACAATAGCTCCTGTCCAGTCACTGTGGTGAAGAAAGGAGATCATGACCACTGATCATCATCATCATCCCACCACAAAGCACTCTTAAATCCACATTTTCTCATTCGAATTCTCTTATTCTAAGATAGTGATTATGTTTTGTGAATTGTTAATGCATATGTTGATGGATGGCTTGGCCTTCGTTGCTGTGTTCTTCAAATGTTTGGATATTATTTAAACATTGGATTGCTTTTTTACTTGTTGAATTATAAGACATTTAAATTTACCTTAAAAATATTCACACACATACGACCATTGTGCCTCAGAGTAAAGCTATCAACCAACAAAAAAATATCAGTGATCTAAGATTCATCCATGAACACAGAGCCATGAGCGCTTGCCTTCATGAACTTCTTCAGCAAAAGAACGACGATTGCAAGAGTGAGCCCGATGGCAGCCCATTTGAACAACCAGTCATTGGCTGGCCTATGAGCTCCCGTCTCCGGCCTCTGCTGCACCTGAGCGGTGGGGCGACTCGATGGCACCTCTCTTGCCACTCTTGCTGCTTCAGGCTGGAGATTGACATTCACAGATAATCCCTCTGGTGCTGCTTCCTCAACAATCATGTCGATTGCGGGTGGATTCGGAATCTCTACCACAGCAGCAGCTGCAACTTCAGCAGCTCCAGAAGTTACCTGGACATTGGCGGGTTTCTCCTCAGAGGCATTTGAAGAACCCGGCTGAGGGACAGGCGGCACCTTACTCAGCAGATATTCATGAATCTGTGATGTAAAGAAGCTGATTACCTAACAGTATCATAGCTTTCGAGATATCGACAGAACTCGGGAGTACCTCGTTAATTAGCTTTTGACGTTCGGGAGTACCGAATTTGGGGGGCGCTTCTCGAGATTTGATGGCCAATTCTCGTCGCTCTTTCTTCTTGTAGTCCAGGGAACCAAGAGCGCCATTTGGGTTTGTAGGCATGAAAGCAATTAATGCAACCAAGGCAGTGCGCACTATGAACAAGCATCAACAGAAAAGGGTAAGCGGGAAAAAAGGAACAAAGATCACAGAGCATGTGGAACTTGAAGCAACTAAACGTAAATGTAGAAACTGGACAACGGAAACGCTATGAGCTAACATAACAAAACAAGACAAGTTGAAATAATGATACAAAAAACTACCACTCCACGACGGTTGCCAATGCTCTGGATGGTGATTTGATATGCTCAAGCAAATCTTCGTTTGGGTTTCAAAGCGCCCATTTGGCTGAAAGAAAGGAAGTGTCAAAATAAATACAAGAAGAACTATGGACGTGTTTGAGGGTAACCTTTTGAAATTGTTCAAATCATTTTTGTCAGGTTCAAAATAACTCTAAAACTTTTAATCCTTCAAAATCAATTTGATTGTACGAGCATCTTGTGAGATCCAAGAGTGGTTGGAGAGGAGAAAGAAGCCTTATAAAAGTGTGGAAACCTTTTTCTAGTGGACGCGTTTTAAATAAAACGTGAGACTGACGACGATACAACTCTAAAACTTTTAATCATTCAAAATCAATTTGATTATATGAGCATCTTGTGAGATCCAAGAGTGGTCGAAGAGGGAAACGAAGCTTTAGAAATGTGTGGAAATCTTTTCTTAGTGGACACATTTTAAACCGTGAGGCTGACGGCGATACCTAATGGGCCAAAGCATACAATATCTACTAGCGGTATGCCTGGGCTGTTACTAGTATCAGAGGCAGACATTAGGCAATATAACAGCGAGGGCGCTGGGACCCCAAGGGGGATTGTGAGATCCTACATTAGTTAGAGAGAGAAATGAATCATTCTTTATAAGGGTGTGGAAACCTCTCCCCAATGGACATGTTTTAAAACCGTGAGGTTGACAATGATACGTAAAAGGCCAAAGCAGACAATATCTACTAGCGGTAGACTTGGACTGTTACAGATGTACTAAATAAGACAAAAGTGATTTGAACTCTTTCAAAATCAAGCACAAACATGTTCCACTTAAAAGACAAGAAGCAACAGAAAGGGGAACAAGCATGAAAAGAGATAGCTATCTTACGGTTAGCAACATGAATGAAGGTGGCTTGAATGGATATTCTGCTGGCAATTGTATACGTCCATGATATATCCCACCCTCAAATTCACTATCATCCGGTCCACGGATGGCAAATTGCCATTCAAATATATTCTCCTGAAAAAGCAACATTTATCCTCGAATTCCACAGAAAGACTTTTTGGCAAAACCCTTAAACTCTGTAACAGTCAAAAAGACGAAGCTACGCGGATTAATACCAGAACTGGTGTATCAATCGAGCAATGGTTCGCATAGCAGGTATTTTTCTTCTTTTACCAAAATGCAATGAAGTCGATACAATTATAAGAACTAACACACATGAACATAGCGAGAATAGCATAAGATACATGGAAGATTTATGCAAAAGGACTGGATGCACGTGTATTTGTAGAATCAGTAATCAATTCAAACAAATTGATAATTAGCCTAACTGGAGAGTAAGGTTCAAAACAAAGGACTGCTTGAGTTTTCAGCTGTTCAAGAACATTCGATGATTATCAAATCGAATGGATTTCATATACAAAATCTGGCAACAAAGCGTTAATATTTCCACTTTTCTTCCTTTTTGAGCCCTATCAAAACATTCATACGCAATAGTAGCAGACACCAGCAGGTATGAAAAATCAAAAGAAAACCAGATTAATAATTGATTTCTTTCCACATTTCCACATTTATCATACAAATGCAACAATCGGCGAAAATCACAGGGAATCAATTAATTCAACAAAGATACGCAAACCATTAGAATGTAAAACCGACAAAACAAGAACAAAAACCAGAGATATTCAAAAGCAAAAAACCTCAAGAGGAAGACTCGTGAAATCATCGGAAGGATTAGACTGCAACTCCTTGACCTCCTGAAGAATCCTCTTCACCGCAGGGTTATTCAGATTGTACTTATCCTCCGCCATAGGTTTCCAGTTCACTCGCAGATCCGATCCGATTGCAACCGCCACCCTATCACGGAACTAAAAAAGAACAAACAAGAGGCGATCACAGAACCAGACGGTAGGCTTTGAATCGAAATCAAAGCCAAACCGCAAATGTGAACGAGAATCGCAAATTGGGTTTTAACGTGACACGTCATTCTTGCCATTTTCTTGGCGGGTATTAACGTGACACTCCATTTTTATGTTTAAAATTTTAAATTGACAAAATTAAACCTAAACTATAATTAATTAATTTTTTTAAAAAATAAACTGTTAATTGTTAGAGCGATTATTATTTTACAATATAATAATATAATTTATTTTATTTTCAAAAAAAATAATTGAGTTTATATTTTATAACCTGGAATAATATATTTATTAAAATTTTAATTTTACCTTATTTAAATTAAAAAATTTCAAAGGCTTATTTCTTCATAAAATATAATATAAATTGCTTATCAAACCGAAATATCACATGAAAAAATATATTTTAAATTTATCTATTTTAACTGATTAAATTATTATTAAATGGACCATTTTCCATCTAATTTAATATTAACTAGATATATCATTTAAACTCTTTATTTTATTTTAATAAATATTAATAACAATAAAATTTAGACGTTGATTTTTAAGGTGTTTATATGACCAAATAATTGAGCGGTGCCTTAGCTGGTGATTCGGGCTGTTTCCCTCTCAACGATGAAACTTATCCCCCATCGTCTCACTGGCCGACCTTGACCCCTATTATTTTGAGATCATATCTAGTATTCAGAGTTTGCATCGATTTGGTACCGCTCTCGCAGCCCGCACTGAAACAGTGCTTTACCCCAAAATGTCTAGTCAATTGTTGCACCTCAACGCATTTCGGAGAGGAACTAGTTAGCTATGGGTTTGAGTGACATTTCACCCCTAACCACAACCCATCCACTGATTCTTCAATATAGTCGATACGGACCTCCACTTAATCTATGGTAGGACCAATTTGGACTATCCAACCCAACCCAGATTGCTAGTTACTTTCAAAAGATTTTCCCAACCGAGCCACTATGCACTCCTACTATAACTCGTACTATATATGTGTATATATATATAATATTAATTACGAGAAAACTATCCTAATTAATTGATAATTGTTATTATAATCCATTTTTGAATAAAATAGTGATTGTCCAAAGGGTTCCAAACGGCGTCGTTCCCTTAAAAACACTAAACGACGCCGGATGGGGCGATGGACCGCCTCGAAGCGACTGAATGAAGTTGGCTAGAAGGTATGTTCTTTATTTTCTTCCCATTTCCTTTTTATTCGTCTCGCTGTTTCTGTATTGCTCTCTTTTTCCTGTGGACTGAAAGGAAAAAGGAAGAAAAAAAAGAAAAGAAAATATAAGAAGAACCAACTCTCTACACAAATTCCCAATGAAAATTTCGGAGCTCCATGAATCTAAACCTATATTCTTCGTCCTTCGCCACGCTCTATAGTTTCCATTCTATCCCATTCGTTTCGAAATCTCATCACTGCAATTGTTTTTTGAGTTTCGTGATCCATATCCACCACTCTCAGAAGCTGAGATGCGTTGTTCGCCGTAGAAGTTTTGTTGGGAATTTGCAGCTAACTCCATTGAAGGTACTTATTAAATGGCAGATTTTGTGTTCGTAAATGTTTTGGGGTAGGGCTTGTTCATTGTGTGGGCGTTTAAATTTGGTATGATGAAATTGTGTATGTTTCTTGTTCTCTAGTTAAATTGTCATGTGGAAGTTTCTATGAAACTAATTTAGAGTTTACGGAATGGAACAACAATGCATAATGGATTTTGATAGGTCAGGATTTCGTAGGTGCAGAAAATAATTTCTGAGTTTCTGGGACTAACCATCTTGATGGATTCTGTGACTCCTTCAGTTCAGTAGGTCTGGGTTTTCTTTTCTTCGATTGATTACTTAGGTATGCGGTTCTTTTGGCTTAGCTTCATAATATAATTCACATTCACTTTGGATTTGGTGTTTCCTCGTACTCTTTGGTATTATACTATAGCTGCATTATTACCTGTTCTCTCTTAACTTTCTCACATCTCCCCATCGCCAACATGGTTTTCTCTTCAAGAGCTTCGCTCTGCCTTTGATAATTTGGGAGAGAACTGGAGGACATGGCTCATGAGGGACAATTTTTTCTCAACTTACTCCAGATGGATATGGCTCGAGAGTAATGCTTTCTTTGCCAGTTTTTTCATTGATTTCCTTGAGTGGGACACGGCTTGAGAGAGGGGTTTTGCTGACGAGCAATAACTTCAGTAGTG